GGGGGGGGGGGGGAATGGGAACCTTTGGAATTGACTCATACATTATAGCTGACAGTTCAATGAAAGAATGTTAAAAATCTTTATGCTGTAGCTGATGAAATATCACACCTTGTACCAGTTCATTGTACTTTTATATTTGTAGTAATTTCGATTGACACAAAAAAAATATCAAAAGAATTAGAAAATATATATTCACTATGATGATAGAAATTATGCAACTATTCGATGAGGAAATCAACAAAAACCAGGAAGTAAATCAACTTCGGTGTCATTGTAAATCATTATAATTAGAAACAAAGGGAAAACTAATCCTTATTATGTGTGGAACGACTGTTAGAAGTCATAAAAAATACTAATTTAGCTGAACTGCCGAAGCCGAACACTTCTGTGTGGGAAATGACCGATGTAGATTTTCTTTGTAAATAAATTGGATTGTAATAATATGTTAGCACTTTTAAATGTTAATACTTATAGTCTTGAATTAAGAATAAATAACTGTAACTAATTTTTTGACGAATCTGAGAAACAAGGGAGGCCAATTTATAGTACGACATTCAAACACTTACCAAATCAATGCTGTTGAAGATGTCACCTGTTGGAACCACATTATCCTGCCAGGGGGCTGTACAACTCTTACACAACAAAGAACTAATTTGCTGCAGGTTTAATCTTGCAGTTTTACTAACTTGCATATCCGAGTTGATCCCGTAAGGTTCTGGGTTGATTATTGCAGGACAAATAAGATAGTTGAAAATTAGTTCCGAAACCATTGCCTTTGCTTGCCTTTCACTAATCATACTTGATCTTAAAACGTTAAATAATTGACATACAAGCCATCTTAGGCTTGGTGGAAAACAGTACAGTTTTTCCTCTAAGCTTTGTACAAATTTAGTACAAGAAAATGGCAGATGCGATTGTAGTTGTGAATCTTTGGCTAGAATCTGAAGTATTTGTGTGTGAAGAGCAGCGGTGAGGTATAGTTTGGCAGAAAACAAGCCCTCTATCATAACACTAAACATGACTGTAAAAGACCAGTTCTTGGGGCTCCTAAAGAATGTTAAAGGATCTTCACTCTTTAAGATCTGAAATTCCATTAAAGACTTCATCAACATAAGTACATAATTCTCATCTTCCGGTAAAAGACAGTTTCCATATAGAGAGTTGAGCACAAGACGAACAACTTGTCTAATGTCGATGTTGACTTTGATTCTATCAACAAAGGCTAAAGTAGATGCCAAGAGCCGCGGATTTTCTCTCAATCCCTTAAGAAACTCTCCATACTTTGATTCAAGATGTCCAAAGGCTTTGTAGGAATCAAGAAACTTAGCATTCTCTAGCAAACTGTTTGCTTGGCTGGCCTTCGATGGGTTGGCTTGTAACCTCTGCAAATTCCTCCACTGTTGTCCGGCTATCCACGAAAGATGGAACAATTTTTCACATGTTGACTGAATTTCTGTATTCATATGCTGTATAGATTCCTTTTCCCTAGAAACAAAGAGGTGTTCCTGTTTTAATCTTTCTTGTAGAAGCCATAGACGACCGTCCAGTTTAGTCGAGGCCGCCATCTTGTAATGCTACTTGTCCCTGGGGAGTATTCTTTTGAAATCACTCCTTACAACCAATCAGCGATCATGTACCATGACTATTACTGAATAGTACAAATATCTTACAACCACTATGATTGGATAACGGGATACTTCCCTGTGCTTATACTTCCGTAATCTTTCCGTAGTGTGTCATTGTTTATCACTTTCGTAGAAGGTTTATTTCATATCTTCATTTAACTGTGTTAAAGCAATTAGGAAGTAGGAAACTGAAACAACCTTAGAGGTAAAAGATTTCTAGTAAATATTTATTCGTGACGTGGACACTTTATTTCATTTCACGTTATTCCGATTCATTCTTTATGCCACTTTTACAATAATTTACAAATTTCTCGCGCGCTAATTGGTTATTTTTTATCATCAATAAGAGGACAGACAGATAAAGCTGACGTCAACGAGCGCGCGCTCTTTCCGTTGGTTGTTTTGATCACTAAAAATGAGAAGTTTTTATCGTTTTTGTGATTGTAAAAAAACAAATTGACACAAGTTATTTGTGTCTGTCCTCTTATTGACAATAAATTTCGTCATCACATTGTCAAATTTGTATACGTATCCACTCGGCTGCGCCTCGTGGACGCCGCGTGGATCCACACTACTTTGACAATGTGATGACGCAATTTATCTTCAATAAGAGGACAGACTCGACAGACACAAAAAACTGATGTCTATTTGTTATTTTTTCTTAATAAATGGTAAGATCCTTTAGTGTGTGGCCAAAAAAGTAAGAAAATCAAGCATAAAATTTTACTATGCTGAAGCTTTTGACCTGACCAGTTACGATTATACGGTCCTCCCATCCATACGCGCACTATTAGCTAGGTTCATGACGCATACTGCACAACGATGTTACAAGTAGGACGGTACCAAGACTTTAGGTCAGTTTTTCATGCTACAAAAACTGCTTAAGTCTGTTAACATAAATCCACATTTTTGGGGGGAGAAAAAACGACAACGAATAATAAAAAATACAGTTTTTTAATTTTTTCTATCGCAGTTACAATTTATTATTTCTATATTGTGATCGATAAAATTAATATTTAACTAAACATCTGGACTTAAAAGAAAAATACAAGGAAACCTCCACAATCAAGTTATTAAAATGTTGCATTCTTTCACTTTCATTCTTTTTATTTATACGCATCTGTCTTAAACTACAACAGTTGTAAAATATTAATTATATCTAATTATATATATGCTCTTTTATTAATTAAGGACTTGTATACTGAAAAATGTGCTAGATGTATGTATGCGTCAATACCCAAACCTTTTTTGTCTGTTTTTATGTTGAATATCTTGGCTTTGCATTGACACTGATTGCACTCAGCCAGCAATACTTCAGCCAGAGATGCATTGATATAATGAACTAAAAGTTTATAAAATGTACAGCAAATATCTATATGCAGGCAGTGTGAAGACAGGTTGTATATGCCTTGAAATCCCTTTTAAAACTGATCAGCAATAACGTTAAAAGGCTATAAAGACCTGATATCCCAGGGTTTCCTGGTATTTCTAATTATTGCTTGATTAACTCTTATGTAAGGTCTCATTAGTCTAAAAGATAGTTGAATTAATCCCAAGATCTCTATGCATCTATGACAATGTCATTTTTTCTTTATGTAACAGTGTTAAACTCACCATTACATATAAGAATTCACAAAGCAATTGATTTCTCATAATAGATCAGCACTGCTATGAATGAATCTTAAACAAAATAAAACAAAATGTATGTACTTAATATCTAGCTATTGTTCTAATTTCCTTTTTTACATCATATTTTCTTTTCAGTGGCAAAGCAAATCAAATCATCCTGTGTCAACTTATCTCCCATGACATCAATGAGCCATTTGACTTTCTCAAAGTAGTAAGATTCATAATCTTGCAGGATTCATGTAGGTTAATCCACTAACAGCTAGTTCCTTATCTTCTCATGATCCTATATTTCCAAGAAGCCTAGGTTTCACCTTCTTGACCTTTAGAAAGAATTAGAGCACAATAAAATATTATAACTGGTTCAAAAAATCAGTATACTTCAACAAAAAAAGAAGTTCCACAGAAAATTCAGCCAACTTTTTTTGCAACATTTTGGAAATCATATTGCTTCTCTCATGGTAAAGAACATAAAGCACAATCAGAGTATGGAATTGATGAATTCTGACCTAGTTATGCAGTTTGCAAGATCACTGCTCATTCAGTGAAAAAGCTTGGATACAGCAAGTGCTGTCATGATCATAGCAAGGCACTTGTGAGATTCCCCCTGAGATTCATATTGAATTTAAACTATATGCACTTTCTCCCTCCAACAAATTTTGAAATTCCAGTGCCTTAAATTAATAATGGAAGGTTACCTCTGTTTCCATCTGGTCCTCCTTTATTGCCTACACCTTGGCTTCCAGCCTGCTGAAAGCAAAGAAATTGTGAGAAATACTACATATTATTTGAGGGAAGTTAGATTAAGAAAATTAAAATTGAAAGATTGTTAGCCAGTGAAGTGACTAAACCTAACCTGGTGCATATGGTGTGGGTCATGATACAACTGTTGCTGCTGCTGTCCATGACCTTGCATGTGTCCACCACTTGGATCATATGCTGATGCTGCCTGCGACATGACATGTCTTAAGCCTGGCACCTACAGAGGAAATGAATATGCAGATAAGGTAAAGCACTTCTTCAATAGTTAAGAAACAGTAATTCCATACTGAACCGGGAGTGGGCGGGCAAACAAGATGCCCTGTCTCAGAAGGGATTAGAAGTTGAGTAGGGTTTTAGGATTCCTAGACTTTTAATCTTTGACTAATTTGTCATCCATTATTCTCTCCTCCTAGTAACAATGTATGTATGCACATTTACAGTCATTAGCTTACCTGTGATTGTACATTGGCTCCGACTGCTGACCCCCCTTGGTACTCAGAACCCATTCCACCATTCATCTGCACACCTGTCATGTACATCTCTCCTGGCTGCTGTGACATCTGAGGCTGTGATGTTGGTGACATCCCTGGTGAGCTCATGGCAAATCCCCCTACGGAAGATAAATATCAAAAGATACATACAAAATCATCTAATATCAACTAGATATCGTATTATATTGTATGTTGTGTGACAAAGCTCTTACACATCAAGGATTCAACTTAAGACAGCTTTTTTGGCTTTTTTTTTTGTGTGAACTTTTATGGGGCTATTCAATATACAGGCTTCCAAAGCTCTTTTGCACCAGTGGTCCTCGTTTATTGTATTTTTTGTTTATTACGTCTTTGACCTTTTTCTTTTGAGTAACTGCAGCGCCAAGAGTAACAACAAAACAAAATCCCAAGAAAGTTTGAAAATATTTAGGTAATGATACTGAAACAATAAAAAGACAAACCTTGAGTAGAGGAAGGAACACCAGCTGGTCCAGTGGGTCCATTACCAGCTGGTTGAGGCTGCCCCCCCTGACTGGGTGGTCTTGCCACTGCTTGTGAAGATTTAGCAGCATATAGGCTTGCTTCTTCTTGAGCTTTACCAATATTTTTCTTGTATCGAATACGTTTATTACCAAACCAATTAGATATCTGGAAAATAAATATTTACTGTCTTAGCAACAATCTTTTTCATTTTTCTTTAAGCCAGACAGGAATCATTGGTCATTACTTCACAATTAATGAACAATTCCATTATTCTAGATACAATATATAAAGCGAATTCAGACAATACAATACTTTATTCCAAGAGAGAAACACAATAACAGCTTTCTAACTTACATCCCTCAAAATATCCATATGGCTGTGTATCTATTTCAAGAGATAACTTAAGTACTGGTAATGCAATCATTCAATCACCTAAATTTAACACTGTCAATTTGGTTTTTAGGTCTGATAATGAAGTATTTTAGAAAGGAAGAATTTAAATAATTAAATTTCTGTCCCTTGATTTGAGTTTTCCCCAGGTTTTCCCATTTTCTTCCCCCAGGAAAACCAAAACACTAAATTCAAATTAGATCTGTGTCTCAGCAATCTCAGTTTAGTCTAAAGGTTGTTTCAAGGTCTGATACCATTGATGATTGGTTTTACTCTAACACTAACCTGTGCAACACTGATATTACACTTCCGTGCCAATTCTTCTTTTGCTTCTTCACTTGGGTATGGATTACTCAAATGCGAATAAAAATATTCGTTTAGGATCTCTGTTGCCTGTTTGCTAAAGTTTCGTCTTTTTCTCCTACATCAAAGCATTATCACACTGTTAGTTGTTACATAATAGCATCCTTAAGATTTATTGTCTGGAAGGCTTAATGTATTATGTTTATATGATTGTTTCAGAGGGATACAAGAAAAGTGCTTTCAGACATGATTTATACATGTTAATAAAAAACATATTGATTTTAAAAAGCTAAAACCACCATATGGAAACATAGTTCAAGTATTAATGGGATTTCCACAATAAGATCTTTCATTTATAAATGGAGAGTTAAAACAGAATAAAAACTCCTCATACCTTGCATCTAAAAACCTTGATCTAAGAATCATAACAGCCTCACATGTACTTTGCTTAAGCTGCATTTGTATTGCACTAAATTTGCGATGTATGATTCCAACCATTCTTTCAATTTCCTTGGGTGATATAGGACGGGTACGTGATTGCTCCCGTAGTAAATTCATGACATGTGTAGTAAACTCACTGCAAGCCTAAAATTTATGAATAAATAGAAGACTGAAGTTAGCAACCACAAAAAGCATTATTTAGGTGAACAAATGTTTATATTATTACCTGTTCATATTTTTCCAGTTCAGTATGGTATATCTGTCTTATTTGGTTTAGTTTGTTCCTATATTCAGAATGTTCTGATTGGTTCTCATGTACTCCTGCGGCAGCAGCTGCTGCAGCTGCCCCACCCTTCTCTGGACCAGCAACACCCTCTGCCAACAGCATGTTGTCCAGTCGCATGAGTTGTGGATCTGGTGGCTCATCTTCTTGTGACCCACGAATACTCAACACTGTTTAGAACAAGACAAATTGATTAACTTCATTAATAAAGTGGCTTTTTTCGACCCAACAAAAAGATTACTAAATAACTCATGAAACAATGATGCAAGATCAAAAGTTACTCCAATAACAAATAAATTATGAATTTTTACAAGGAAATTCTTTAAATGGGGAATAGAAAAAAAAATTATCCATATTTTAATTCAGCTGAAACTTTACTGGAATAACCCTTAAAGTTCTAATAATCACTGGTTAAAATGTTTTCTTGATATTCAGATGGGAAGTATTGTATCTTAAAGAATTTTTATAGGAGTCTGTGATGTCATACACTCAACACTATAACGTTGCTCCATACATTTCTTTGTATTTTGTAATCAAAATATCTTCTAGTTTTATACTCAGTATTTAAGAAAAGATACCATAAAATATTTCTAACCACAAGTTATGTATGTTAAGTCCCTAAGCCAACCTTTGGGCTTAATAGAAATAAAGTTAAACATGAAGATATTTACAAAGAAATTAAATTAACATGACAATGACAATTGTGCTTCTGTTTTGTTCTCTGCACTACTGGATATATTTTCATCATTATCAAGTAAATAAAGATTATATTATTACCCTATATTGTATGCACTGCTAAAGTAATACTGCTAGTACAGACTACCCATTTTCTGATTTAAATGAGTCAAGTCACTATCAACCAAGGTTGACTATTAAAAAATGACAAAGAAACAAGAAATAAAATAGAGAGAAAAAACATCTTCAAAAGACAAAAGATGCAGATTGTAGGTTGTCTTCTAAATTCTACTTCATCATTGGTCATTGGTCGGTGGGAGTCACGTGAGAGAGCGCACGAACCCGGGAGATCAATTTGTGTGTGATCCTTGGGAGATCTACTGTGTTTGTTATTGATGYGTCGATTTATACCTCTTAAAGCCTTAAAGAAGTAGACTTTGAAGAATGGAACCTAAAGGAACACGCGAAGACGAAGAGGAAAACCTCCTAGCTGATGATGAAGAAAATTCTGATTCACGAAAGCAAGATAATCCGAGCGACTCGCTCACTGCCACCTTGGCGAGCCTAAACCAAACAATGGCCGCCATGGCGGGAAATATTTCCTCAATGGGAAATACTCTTAAGCGGATGCAGGCCGACTCGGCTGCATCGTCAAAAGCAAAAAAGCGAAAAGAAGCTGTTACTCAAGATGCTGAGCTAAGTGATAGAAATCTTAGTGAGGAGGAATCCGACTCGGATGACTCAGTCAAGTTGCTTCAAGCATCTCGTACACAACAACGGACTGCAAAGGCAAGTCAAGAAAACA